ACGCTTTATAATGGATTTTTATTCATTTTTTTTTTTAATTGCCTCCAGTCGAAAAAATAATGAAAGAAAATTCTGTCTGTCATGATGCGATTTTTGTGATGAAGTTTCCATTTTAGTTCAGTGGCATGCTTTACAGTGAGCAGCATAACATTTTTGTAGGCTTGTCTATCATGAGTACACCCTCAAAAAAGTGTCAGGAAGTCTGACAATTTGATTTTGACATATTGTAACAGTTTTTTTGTTTTTGTTTTTGTTTTTTTACTATGCCGTGTAAAGTGGCTCAAGTTTGATGATCGTTATGAGTGTTTGCTAGGAAAGGGGCAATTGCCGGGGCCCTTTCATCACCTCGTTGCAAAATTAAAACTGTCATCCTCCATTTCTTTCTGCAGTGAAATGTCCTTTCCGAAGATGACATGGAGCTCTTCTTGTAAGTTTTTTTTTTTTTTAACTGTACACTGAATTTATTTTTATCATTTGAATCGTCTTGGCCTCTTGGTAATAGAACTTGTTTGTTTGACAGGGACGTCTTCTGGCACCTTCGAGGGCCACCAGGAGGCGGTGAACGGCATCCAGATCCACAACGGCCTGCTCTACACATGCTCGGGGGACCGCACCATCAAAGCCTTCGACTTGATGGTGGGTGCCGATGAAATCTTCACCAATGCCCGTTTCAGAATGCAAGTGACATTCCCATCCTCCGTCTCTTGCAGACTCACAAGTGCGTTGCTGTCTTTTCCGGACACACGTCCAAAGTGAGCTGCTTGCTAGTGTCGGCTGCCCCCTGCCTGCAGTGCCGCCTGTACTCGGGCTCCAGCGACCAGACCATACGCTGCTACAGTCTCAAGGTAGGATAAATGAAGGCCTCCTACTTGACTGGCTTATTTTATTATACTGACTGAAGAGTGGTAACATTTTAATGGCTTTTTTTAGAAACATGCTTGTAACAGTAACAAAGAGGAGTAATAGGTGTCCATACAAATGCCTGCACAAAATAACAATTTTAAATGTAAATGGCACAAAAATAATCCAGAGGTAAAACTTTGATTCGAGATATTTTGTGTTAGTATTATATATTTTTAAAGGCATTTTTATAGGTGTCCATACAAATGCCTGCACAAAATAACTATTTTAAATGTAAATGGCACAACAACAATCCAGAGGTAAAACTATTATTCCAGATATTTTGTTATTATATTTTTTTAAATGCATTTGATTTGTTTTATTTTTAGTTTCAATTTCATCCCGCCATTTTTCATTCAACTTATTGTTTTTAGACTGACATTGACACTTTAACAGATCTGTTTCAAGAAAAGTCAAGGAAATAGCTGTCCAGAGAGATGCCTGACAATAGATTTACCGTCTACGGCAAGACTGGGAGTCATAATTCCCACCAGACATTTTAATAGGACAATATCGACAGAAATGTTTACAACTGCATAGCCTCGGTGGTTGTCTTACATTTAAACGTTTCGTTTGGGTGCTTGCTTGCAGACGCAGGAATTAGAGCAGCAGTTCAATATGGCAGATCGGGTCCTGTGCCTCCACTCTCGATGGAAGTTCCTCTACGCCGGTTTGGCAAACGGCACTGTGGTTACCTTTGATCTTATGGTGAGTAGTGTAAGTGGTGTGAAGTAACAAAGTAGAAATTTTAAGTCTTTTTTTTTTTTTTTTTTTTTTTTTTTTTTTTAAACACAAGTTATCTTTACTTGTACTCAAGTCCAAAGAGTGACAACTTTTTTTGCACCTCTGGCACAGACCAACAAGCAGCGGGACGTGTTTGAATGCCACGCGCCACGGGCCGTCAGCTGCCTGGCCACGTCGCAGGAGGGCGCGCGGCGCATCCTGCTGGCGGGCTCTTACGACAGCACCATCAGCGTGCGCGACGCCAAGACCGGACTACTGCTGCGCACGCTGGAAGGACACACCAAGACCGTCCTTTGCATGAAGGTGTGCCTGCGTCCCCTTCCTGCCAAAGCGGCGCCGATTTTCTAGCCGATGATGGGGGGGGGGAAACGTTGACCTGAAAGTTTGTGCTTTCAGGTTGTGAACGACTTGGTGTTTAGCGGCTCCAGTGACCAGTGTGTCTTCGCGCACAACATCCATGTGAGTCCACTTTTGGGTGATTTACAGTCTCCTGGTGCTGCGTCATCAGGAAGTGAATAAGGAGAGAGTGTTAAAGCGCTTTTGAGTACCTCGAGGGTGGAAAAGCGCGAGACCGGGGAAAGTTCGTTTCGTCTTCGAATGTGGGCGGAGCATGGCGACAAGATTTGATGGTTATTATGAGGACCCATCAAAGGATTCATCGCTGCTGGCAACTTGAATTTTATTGAACCTCACCTCACCTCGATTATGAAGTAGTCTTATCGCCAACGTTTTCCCTTTAGAGCGGCGAGCTGCTGCGTGTCTACAAGGGCCACAGTCACGCCGTCACAGTGGTCACGGTCGTGGGGAAGGTGATGGTGACCGCCTGCCTGGACAAGCAGGTCCGCGTCTACGACATACAGGTGTGCCCGATTTCCTCCCGTCTGCCATCACAAATCCCGAATGCTCTCCCAGACTGACAAACACCCACCCATCCTCTGCAGTCTCGAGAACAGCTGCAGGTGTTCACCGGACATTCAGACATGGTGACGAGCATGGCGGTGCACCAGAGCAAAGTGAGTCATCGCACATTCTGGCTTGTTGGATGCACGACTTTTCAAAAATGATCACCACATAATGTCTTTTTTTGTTTTGTTTTCCTTTTCCCAGATTTACACTGGCTGCTACGACGGCAGCGTGCAGGCCGTCGAGTTCAACCTGACGCAGAACTACCGCTGCAGGGTTTGATTTCATTTTTATTAAAAAAATAAAATAAAATAGCTGCCTAAACGGGGTTTGGTACAATTCAAAAGGGTGTCGTGGTTGAAAGTAGATTAGAGTGAGGTTCTCCAGACAGGGAAAGACAAAATTTGGGTATTCTGGAACATTTTAAATTTTAAACTGTGGAAATAAGCTTCCACAGCTACAGCACAGATTAATGGAAAATAGATGAGTATGTTATTATTTTACTTTATGTTAACTGTTTTGTTAAGCGCTTTGTTACAGCTGCCGCTGTTGTGAAAGCGCTATATAAATCAGCATGTATTGTATTGTATTGTATTGTATTGTATGTTTCTCTCGACTGGAGAGTTTTGCAATTGAGTAACTTTTGGTGTCATCTGCCTGAAAAGAGCCAGCCAGGACTTTTTTGTGAGGTTGAATTTCTTGGACAGTCTCTGGTATTTCTATCCTAAAGGATGCCTGTTAAAGCTGTTTTTTTGGTGCTGTATCCACAGTGGCACGGCTGCTCACAAGTTTTCGGCATCATGGCACACCTGCAACAGCACATGGTCGCCGATCACGCCGCCAACCAGCAAACGCTCCGATGTCGCTGGAAGGACTGCGAGGAGTTTTTCTGCGCTCGCAACGGCTCCAAGCAGGTAAATGTTTCTTATTTTCATCATCCGCTCTCCGCGTCATGTGTAGTGAGCGCGGCTCCGCTCTGTCTTTTCAGGCGATGCTCGCACATGTGCAGAAGCACGCCGACGAGGCCCAACCGGAGCCTTGAGTTCCCATCTCCCATATTGGGCAGAAGTTTGGGACCTTAGCGTTCTATGTTGGAATCCAACGTTCAAGTGTCTCCCTGTCCATTTTTTTCTACGACCGCAAAGAGTGCGGCGGCTGCGACATCCTCGCATGCCGCCGCCCCGTCTTTCTGCACTGACCAAAAATGAAAATGAAGACCCTTCTTTTCGTTTTTTTTTTTTTTTTTTTTTTTTTTTTTTTTTGGCCAAGGAAATGTCAACGCCGCCGAGAGAGGAAACGCCGTGCATTTGCATCCGGCAGCCGCACTGTATGGCATGGGAAATTTTTGTTGTTGTGTCGTTACTTTGTGAGCAACCGCACCATCCTTTTAATTTATCAAATTTTTTTTTACATTTTAGTTAAAAACGGCTGTTAGTCCTTTGAAGCGGTCTCCATGACAGATTGTGTCTTGTTAGCCTAACAAAGTCTTTTTTTTGTTTTGTTTTTTTTGATTTTTTTTTTTTTTTTGTATCACTTCATAATAATGTTGTTTAACAGTTTACAAAGCTTTGGTAAACTCTAAATCCTTTGTCAGAGTGGCATACATCTTGCCAACTATTAAGCCCGCGTTCTACCAAATTGTTGTTTTGTTTTGGGTTTTTTTTTTTGTTGCTTGTTGCTCAGAGTTTTTTGAAGATATTTGAGGGATTTTGGTGCAGTGTCGTGTGGCCGGTTTTTCATTTTTTGCTGTGAAAACCAGAAGTTATGGCCTGAAAATATGTGTGTGAATGTCTCGAGATGGCAACACGGGCCAAAAAGGATAGCTCTTTGGAGATGACATTTTTTAGAAAATTTTATAATTGGATTCTGGCTGTTTTGTTATTAATATCGGAGGAGGGGATACATTGCAGCATTGCATTTTTCATACTTCCAACTTAGTAATATATAAATGTGGCGGTGACGTGAGGAGGTGACGAGGCGCATGTCGGAGGAGGTGTTCGATGGAGCAGTAGGAAGAAATGATCTCCCATGCCATACCCCCCACCCACACATCACTTCCGAATGAAAGTCCCGGTTTTATACCAAAAAAAAAAAACAAAACAACATTGTCATGATTAATTTTCTCACTCACCGTCGTATGTTCTATACGTTTTCTGCTTAAGTCGGAAGGAAGCAAAACACGGCGTTCACCTCCGGCCTGGCAACACTGACTGTCTTTCCACTTTCTTGATTACGTAACCTGATTTTTTTTTTTTTTTAATTGTGCAATAAAAGACATTTAATAATATAAAAAATATGCAACACTATAGACAATGTCTGATTTCTTTTTTTTCCACTTAAATATACTATATATGTATACGTGTGTGTCAAACCCAACAAAGTATATACAACATGGAAAATACCAATTAAAAAAACACTTGTTCAATATCAGATCAGCTTGTAAGTGGTAGGCTTGAAATATAATTTTATTACATTTTTAACATTAAAATGGCCTTTGTAGAGGTCTACTGTCCGAAACGCTTTGTGAACATTGTCAAGCGTGTTACTTAAAACATGTTACTGATATATTGGTGGGGATAAAATGCTTCTAAAAATGCATTACACTCATTTGACCAAAGCCTTAAATAGCAAAATCACAACAACAACAAAAAAGCAGCAGTCCAACCTTTTCTAGCCGTATTCTCTTCTTCAATTACTGAGGGGAACCTAAAACGGTATGAACCAAAAAAAAAAAAAAAAAATCGTTTAACAACTTTGTCCACTGTGAGTCCTCACCTACAGGTAATGTTTTTTGTGTCTGTGTGAGGCTCTGTGAGGTATGGTGACAGACGTCAAAAGAGGTCGTTGTGTGTGTGTGATGCCTGAGTGAAAAAAAGGTGGCAGGAAGGAAAGGGGTCTCCGTAGATGCAAATGGGATGCACAGTGGAGGAAGAGGTGGTGTGGAGGAAATGATGGCAGAATGATGTGGAAAGAGTGAAAAATGTAAGGGGTGGTAAGAGGACAAAAGCACAAAGTAGATGTAAAAGGCCTGTCCGGAAACGGGGGGAGCAAATGTGTCTCCATGAATGAAAATGACAAAAGAGAATGATTTCTTTGGGCGGGTTGAGGGGAAAAAGAACAAAAGTACAGAAGAGATGCAAATGGCCGGAACTGAGGAGGAAGTGTTGGTGGGATGGGAGGAAAGGTGTCTCTGTGGTTGAGTGATTTCTTGAGGCGGGTTGGGGATGGAAGTAGGACGAAACACAAAATCGATACAAATGTCCTGAATTGAGTGAGGAGGAAGATGAGAAGCGGCACGGGAGGTCATGAGGTAAAGTCTTGGCAGGTCTGGTCCATGCGCGGCACTTTTCCTTAGGCGTACATGGTCAACTGGAGCCACTGCAAGGGTGACATCTGTTTATATTTGGACTTGAGCGAGTCACAACAGAGTGCAACTCGGAAAGAAATCCCGTTTTTGATTTAATACACATCAAACTGGTATGTCAGGTGTTGTAATTACCTCCAGTACACTGAGTCGGATTGTACCATCGCCATCCTGATCGAACGCCTGAAACGCCCCTTTGGGGCAGGACAAAAAAAAAACCAAAAGCAGACGTTTATCCAGGGGTGCCCGATACATCGATCGCGATCTACCGGTAGCTCGCGGACTGGTCTAAAGTTGATCGGGAGGGGGAAAAAAAAACAACCCAAAACATTTTTGTGTCTGTGTGCGTGTTACAAATATGATATTTTTTTTGTGTTAGTGCACACTGCGCCCTTAGTATCCTATCAGTCTCACTTTTACAAATATATTCAATAAAATAAAATAAAAAAAGCAGGTCACCTTTAATCTACGGTTGCGCGCGACCTGCATCCCGGAAGTTGTTAGCGGTCAGCAGTCGGCAATTGCAGCTTGCTATCACGGTTGTTACGCTATATCTTTTACTGTTATTATTATTATTATCATATAGAGTTTGTTTCATGTACAATTCACGGAGGTTACCGACAAAGAATGGGAACTAGGAGTGCCGGGAGAAGCATTTTTAAACGGTACACGTGAGCTACGATCGTTAACACGCTGCAAAAGTGCGTCCTATGCCTCGGCATCAGGTTTCTACAAAGGTAGGCAGTGATTGCTTTTCACACACTCACACAATTTTGTGTCTGTTTATTTTTCTGTTTAGTTAATAACTGGGCCGTTATGGCTGTTGCTCATCAGGGCATGCGTGCGTATGTGCGCGTGTGAGGTAACGGGTCGATCGCGGGATGTTGGTTAATCGAAAAGTAGATCTTTTCTCAAAAGATCCTTATCCTGAACAGGTCGTGGGAGCCTTTCCCATCTGATTTAGGGTGAAAGGCGGACTACACCCTGAACTGTTCGCCAGTCAGTCACTTAAATTGGGACAAACAACTATTCAGACTCGTTGACACCCTCACTGAGTTGGAACCGATCCCACGCTGCCTGCACACAAGTCAGGCAAGTGTACCATTCTCCCATCAACGACCACAGACGTTAAATGAAACCAGAACATAACAAACTTCAACAAAATATAGCTGACTTATTAAACTCATCCGATTTCTTCAAGGCGGTCGGCTTTCTGAACTTATCTGACTTCCTGAACTCAGCCAACTTTCTAAACGTAGCCGACATCCTAAAATCATCCGAGACTTCATCTTGACTTCCAAAACACGGGTGATTTACTGAATACCTCCGACATACAGGACATGGACGACTTCCTGAATATCTTCCTACATTTTACGTCCTGAATTTCCCGATGACACGGCACTTACTGAACATGGCCTCGAGGCGGACCAGGCAGCTGATGAAGCTGTCGAAGTCGATGTTCATGCTCTCGTTGGCGTAGCGCATGGTGATGATGTCATACAGCTGGTTGTTGAGGCGGAAGCCTGAGCAGGACACAAGACACATGACTACACAGTGACAAGAACATTCACAACAGGGTGAGTTCATGAACGTCGACACGAGTGACGGTGACGGCGATGGCAACCGTAAAGGCGGTGAAGGAAGATGGCTTCCAATACCTGCATCGTTGACAGCGTTCCTCATCTCGTAGCTGTTGATGCTGCCCGACTGATTGGGGTTGTAGTGCTGAAAGATTTCCTGGAAGAGAGCGATTGAAAATTTGAGTGCAGGAGAAAAATTTTTAAAAATGTCGAGGACGTTTCAGCACTTCCTGACCTGCCATTGTTTGATTTTATTCCATAGATGGCGGAACTCCTGAAAGTTGAGGCGGCTTGTTCCGTCCATCTGAGTCCAGGCAGTTAAGACCTAACCTTTTGTAAAATATACAAAATGTACATAGTAGATATTTCTATTATCTCTCTCTCTATAATAATAATAATAAAAATAAAGTAAATGAGAAAGATGCGGCCAAGCTGTCGCCCTGTTTTGCACTCGATACGAAGGATACATCCATCAGAGCTATCATGCTCCTGCAGCTCTCCAGGCTGAAGCCCTCTGTACTCAAGTAATTGTCTGGAGCACATCATAAAGACCACCGCCATCATCATCATCATCGTTATTATCATGAATCATTAATTACTGTTCTTAATACCCCATTTCATTGTGTTTGTAAACATTTGGCGCCCAGGTACTTCCACGTGGCAGAAAGTGATTGCCGACTTCTGACTTGAACTGAAAACAATGGCAAAATCTTGCCTTCACAAAACCAAATGACTAGCCTAATGGTTAGCGCCATCTACGTGACCCCCTTTTGCCACTCGGAAGTACGCGTGATGCCACGGTGAAACGATTTAACGCCTTAAATTTACTCACGCTTGCTCATGGCTCTGTTGAGAACCTTTCTCAGCTCGTTGGCCGTGACCTCCATGTCCTGCAAGAGGGAAAGTCACTTGTGTGTTCTTATCACAGACGTTAGACTCAGCCCGTTCCCCCTTTTTATCACGATTTGCAGTGAAGGGAAGTAACAAGGTACAAATAATTCATGACTGTCAGTAAGTGGATTTTTCTGGTATGTGTACGGACTTGGGTATTTATTTTGCTGTTAACTTTTTTGTGACCTTTCTACTTTCTCATAGACTCGTTACTTTTTTCAACCTTTGGGGATCACGGCGGCATGACGTAGGGTTTTTTTTTATTGAGATCGACGGGACTGATAAAAAGGGACAGCTCACTAATTCGTGTCTAATGTAAAAATATTGCTTTAGCGCCCTCTTGTGGTGTGTTGGTGCTAAGATACAATGTTAAAATGAGGGGAAGACCTTGTGACATTTAGTGTTGTAGTAACACTCCACACCGAGTCATGATACCAACGTAGCAGCTTTGGCTAACATCAGCTCGCTGACAGCTTTAATGCTAGCTTAGTGTTGCTCGGGCTGCTATTTTGTGGAAGCTTGACGGTGGTGGAAGAGATTAGTGAAGTGAGGCTACGTTCTAATCTTGCTAGCAGTTTTAAAACTCTAAACTCCCCCTTGAGTACATATTGTGAGTACTTTTGCCACCTCTGGTTGTCTATACTCACGTCGCCAGCAATCTCTTGAAAAATGATCCGGAACTGCTGGTCCTCCTCGTTCTCCTCCTCCGCTGAGGATGGCATGGGCTGGTGATGTAGGGATGGACGTGGAGATAAGGGGGGCCCGGACCACCGTGGTGAGACATTTGTTTTATTAAAATGTAGTCATAAGATTTTTTTTCTGTCATTCATGCAATTGTACGCCACTGTAAACTACAATGTGCAATAACAAACACACAAATGCCTCTCTGAAAATGTCAATCAAAAGTGGACATTACTTTTAGAGAAGGCACAAATTGACCATAAAAGTACAAAAAAAAAAAAAAAATGGAGACTCACCACGGGATGGTCGGCCTCAATCCTGTTCTCTATCTCCCTGAGAGAAGAAACGGTCACCACGATTACCAACAACAGCAATAATTACATATCACGTGGCGGACCATTGAGCCAATCAGCTCACTCGCTTGATGCCGTGCGCTAAGAGAAACTATTTGAGCCGCTGCTGCTGATATAATTAGCGGCGGGCATTTGACGTCATACACATTGAGGAATTAACAATCAACAGATTTCTGGGAGCGACGAACTTCCCATAGCAGACTCCATTAATCGATAATTCCTTCATCCATTATCATGCCCGTCGCTAGTTATAATCATCAGTAGTAGCATGCGGCATGTGTGAGTATCCCAGTTGGAGAAAGTTGACTGCGGATTCCCGTGCAGGCTCCCACAGTCCATCAGCCGACGTCTGGTCTTCTGGGCCCGCGGTGGGAGAGTGGAAGGGGGTCCGGTGACGGCAGTGGTTCAGTGAAGACATTTTTGAACGTTTACCGCAGATTGCCCCAGCCGGGATTGGCTTGTCTTAAAAAAGATTCCATAACAGCCTCGAACTGGGGCCGCTTTCTTCCAGCTCTATAAATCAAATCTCCATTAAAATGGTTCGTTCTTGGCAGTGTACCTCAAAATCCCCCTCTCCCACACCACCGACCATGACACCCCACTCACAAACCCACTTTTGTATTTGAACCACGAACATGTGAGGAGTCACTGTAATTCCATCGCTGTTAGCCGAAGTCATCTAAGACTACAAATGAGTGCCTGGCTGTCCCCCCAAAAAGAACCCGTAAAACGGCGGCCACTCACTCTGACGTGTTCCTCTTTTCGGAGAAAACCCGCAGGATGAACTCGCCCTCCTGATGGGGCTCGTACGTGGACGGCACGATGACGTACTCTCCGGGACTCAGCCGGAAGCGCTGGGTGACCTCGCGCAGGTTGATGTACGACTTGCAGCGCGCCCTTGATGAATTGACCAGGAAGAAGTCCTTGGGCATGTGTTGCTTGTTGCCGTGCATCTGGAAGAGGGCGCGGAACATTCTGGTGCGAACCCTTCCCGAGACTAAGGAGAAAGATTCACCTCAGAGCTCGGATCCTGGGTGGGGACGAACTTACCTCCTTCGGCACCTGTGGACAGACAGAGGAGATGGTTAACAATTAGGACCTCCTTCCGCTTGGAAATTGGAACTCCTCGGGTGCTTGGGCAGTAATTCTGAAAGTGTGGTACCTCTTTCGGTACGTAAAAAAAAAATCACTGAATTCAATGTTCAAACTGTACATCATGTTACATTGCCTTACAGTTCAATCTGCTTTTGCGGCTCAAACGTGGCGGCTAAAGAAAGATGCTAGCTGAAGTAGCATCTATTTTACAGCAGAGGCAAGGGCTTGGTGTTTTACGATTCTGAAACCTTGTTTTGTTTACTTGCCTTTTGTTTATTTTCTGTTTTTGGGAATGGTATAAAGGTCTAGTCTATAATTTTAATGTGATTATCCAAAACAGAAGCCGGCTTACGAACCTCGTAGATGGCAAAGCCAATGGTGAACAAATTGGCACCCGTCCTGCGCTCTTTCCGCCTGTTCTTCTGCATTAGAGCCACAACGAAGGTGCAGCCAACCTCACTGTCCTCCGGGTCGTCGTCCTCTTCCAGCAAACGAAGGCGGTACTGAGGGTTGGTCCAGAACGTCTCTGCGGGTTCGAAAACGAGCTGTGTGGTTCAAAACCAGCTTCTGCCAGTTATCCAGATCTGGGCGGTCTAAGCGGGTTGCCGAGACTGACCCTGTTCCCAGCTACCTTTTCTCCTCACGTCAGCCAGAAACAAAATGTAGTGCAACATAGTGTCTGTTGAACAAATTTGCAATTTTGGAGCTTCGGAATGGTCACGCGCTGACTTTCACAGGGGCAGTCACAAGAAGGAGTCATGCCATATAACTTTTAACAAAATCCCTGCATTTCCTTCCGTTGGGGTTTTAATCAGCTCACAATGACAACTGGCTTCTCCCGGCGCAGCTTTTCCGGTATGCTGTCCCATGATTTACAGGCAATGATAAACAGGGTGTGAAATTCAGCATCCGTTGTTTGGGATCTTAGTAAATCGGGACCATAGTTCCTTCAGCCTCGGTATGTCTGATTGCTTTCTGATTTCGGTTCGGCGGACGTGTCTCTTACCAGGGTAGTTTCTGCAGCCTCCGGCCGAGCAGCCTCGAACCCAGCGGCCTTCGTTCACAGAGACGGTCCACTTGTGGATCTTGTCGTCCTCCAGGGCGTCGGGCGTGAGGTTGCAGATCTCGATCTTTGTGTAGTTCTTCTTGAAGTCCTCAAAGGACATCCTGGAGAAGGACGAATACGAGATCAGGTACCGGATGGAGGGGAGTCAGGATTTTAAGGATGGGTTGGACTGATGGATGAATCAATCAGTGAAGCTGCAAACCTGTCTGCTCTCTTAATCAAGAAATCAAGAAAATGTACATTTTTTTAAAGATTTTTTTCTCAAGAAGAATTTCATATTTATATCAGGAAAAATAATACAGTCCAGAAAATAATAGTTATATTCATTTTGAGGGGAAGAGGAGGATTCCCTTGAAAGAAAAAAAATCTCAAAATAAATGTTACCTTTTTCTAAAACGTTTTTTTGAAAATATATTTGTCCGAGAAAACTAGAATTTAAAAAAGGAAAAAATGTTTTTTTCTTATGATCTTTTATTCTGGAGAAAACCCATTTTCTTGAAATACATTTTTAAAGTAACTTTTTTTTTTTTTTTATCCATTTTCTTGAAATACATTTTTAAAGTAACTTGTCTCACACCACATTACCAGAACTCTCCATCCTCTGCGCTCTTGTGCTGTAGCTTCTCCTTCTCAGCCATGGCTAGTGCGGCCCACTCCTTGGAGCTAAAAAGGGAACAGACGACCAAAATTTAAAAGTAGCCAAGACCCTCTACTGTGGACTAGAATTTCTCCGGGAGGGATCCTGACTTGTCGCTCCAGGGTCCGTTCCACTCCACCTGGCCCCAAGGGTTCCTGAGACGGACGAGTCGCACTTTGGTCTCTTTGTGCTGCGAGGGTCGACACTGCCAAAGACAAAAACATAGCATTCATTTTCCTAATCAAGCTTTTCAAGCGATCGCTGCCCGTCTTTTACCTCCTCCACCGCCGTCACAGAGTAAGCGTGGCCCTTCACTAGACCCGTGGCAGTCCGGGTCTCGAAGCGAGCAGGGACAAGGGACTGAGGGACGCAAACGTAACCAAGTGTGTCTTTTGTTCACAACAATAATTGTGGTTAAATCGGTGTTCCCAAAGTCAATTCTAACAGTCAAAGAAGAAGGAGTGACGAAAGCAAACGTACCTTCATGGCTGACTGGCTTCCTTCTACTCAAAGCATTCCAAAAAAAAAAAAAATCACGCCACATTGCGTAAAACTCACATCAATGGAGCAGCCCATGAGGGAACCTCTCTCCAGAGCCTTCTTCATGATCTTGTAGAGATCTTTGGGGGCCTCCTTCATCTCGTAAAACTCGGTCACCCCACCCGTGAAGTCTTCCATGGCCTCGGTGGTGTTGCCGCCCTTAAGGGCTTCATAGGAGCCGTGCAGTCTGGACACAGCCGGGACAAGGGCCATGAGTCGCAATGTTGGACATGCATGAATATGTACAGGTATATGGGTGGTTCAAAAACAAAGTATGGTCCGGCAGAATGAGCCCCCCCCCCCCCGCCCCCCAATCCCTGTCAAAATATCAATCAGACTTTTCGATTCAAATGATTTGAATAAATCCAGCGTCTCACTTTGCGTAGGCCTTTTCCAGCAGGGCACTCCAGAACTCGTTTCTCTCCGCTGACTTTGTGAACACCAGCTGGTTGTTTAAGGTGGGGATCCGGTCATCGATGACGACGTCCACCCAGTCGCCATAGCGCCAGAACTGTGCAAAAGGGACCAGGGGCGGGGGAGATCGCCAACATCAGGGAAGTAAAAAAAATTTGTCATTCATGCAGAGACGAGATGAAGAACGAGGGCCTCGGAAACTCGATGGTTGACCTGGAAGTGGAAGATTCCGGCGTAGTCCTGCGTCAAACTCTGGTCTGGAGGAACCACCCGGTAGAGGAGCTTTTCGTTGAGGGTGAGGCAGGCTATGGCGGCCAGCAGCCAGCAGTCACCTGTGCACAAAAAGGTGGGTGCAACACACTGGTGGTGGGAGGTCAGACCCAGCGAGGTCGAAACACGATCAAAAGCGCCGATCTACATTTACAACCGACAGTAAATGTATGCCGATTGCTTTGACGTCCAAATCAGAATTCAGCTTTGACGTGTTGCCATGTCAATTTAATCTGCGCGGCGCCTTCTGTATCAGTCGAGCTCAGCCTGGCCCAAGTGACTTCAATGATAGTGGACCCTTGTTTCAGTGAAACAAAAGTAGTGCTTTGCCGCTATCATGTTACATCTGTCGACAATTGTGACCGTTTTGAAGGGGGATTACGGACTGAGCCCTGGTGCGGCAAAGAAATACCTTTGCCTTCATGAAGCACCTGCGCTCACTTAATCGTCCTTCCTGGGCAACAAAATGACTCGAGAAGGCGGCAAAGTGCTTCTTTGGCCCTAAATTAAGCCCATCATTTGGCTTCAACAGCATTCCATGATAACAAGATGATGGCAAAGCACTTTTTTTTTGGTCTAAATGAAGCTCCTCAACTCACATCAACATAGTTCCTGAGCACCAGGTTGATGACAAAGCACTAGTTGTGTCAGGATCAAATTTCTCAACTCACTTCAACAGTTGCTTGCCACCAAGATGCCTCAAGACGGTGGCGAAACACTATTTTTGCTCAGTGAAGCTCCTCAACTCAATTCGATACAGTTCTTTAGGAACCTCGATGCTCGAAGATGGCAGCAAATCACTACTTTTGCCATGCGATGCAAGTGGTGCGAAGTAATGGATTAAGTGGAGTATGTCCTCTCCCTCCTGAAGGCCCAGAAACCAAATTCACAACCCAACACGCGTCGTTGAGCTTCTCACGTTCAGTTAGTTGTCCACTGATGCAACTTTTTTTTGGGGGTGGGGGGGGGGGGGCTTCGAGCCTTCATTGACAGGCTCAACAATGAGAAGTGCTGCTGGCTGGATGCCCTTCCAAAAGAGTAACCACAGGAAGCGACCCCACGCTGTCCGCACACAAGTCAACCGAGTGTACCACGACACCATCAGCGACTTAAATAACCAATGTGAATAGAATTTGTTTTTAACATAAATTACAAGTTTAATGGAACAAAAAAAAAATCCACCAAAAACAATTCTGCAATAATTTCTTTGTAAAAAAAATGTGAAATGCTAACTTGGTGGGCCCTGCTGAAAATGTTGTGCAGAAACACACGCTATGATAAAAATGCTAAGTCGTGATTGACATTTTTTTTCCAAATCGTTGCTTCGCAATTATGGCTTGTGGTACATTTTTGGTGATAAGTGCGGTACACAAACACTCACCGAGATCACCCTGGCAGATGTCAGTGCGACTGGCCCCGCCCACAATGAACTGTGGTTTCTCGCTAATTTCCTGCACAATGCACAACAAACAAAGGTACATTCCTCCGTATTAAAAATGTAAAAAAAAAAACGCCTTTGCTCGATCGTCATCAACTGCAATAAACTATTAGATGACTGCCCATTTCACACCACACACATGTGATCGAACCCCCCTCCCCCCGCCTGTCAATCATCCATCCTGAATCCCTCCCACTTACTTTGGGCCTCTTCCAAACGATGTTCTTGACCTTGTTGGACTTGTGTCCGAGCTCTCTGAAGCCCAGCGACTCAATGCTGGCCGGGAAGGAGTCGTCGTCAAAGAGGGTCCCGCGCTGGACGTACTCTTGCCGCAGGGCGACAAAGTCCTGGCCGTTGAAGCGCAGCGGCTTGTTGAGGGTGCCTTCGCCGTCGCGACGCTCTCGCTCGCGGATGAGCCGGTCGCAGAAAAAGCCAGACGGTCTGTAGGGCATCTCGTCCCCCCTCGCTCTCTCTCGCTCACCTTCTATGGTGTGGCATGCGTGTGCGTTTGTGCGTGTGTGTGTGTGTGTGTGTGTGTGTGTATATGTGTGTGTGTGTGTGTGTATGTGTGTGTGTGTATGTGTGTGTGTGTGTGTGTGTGTGTGTGTGTATATGTGTGTGTGTGTGTGTGTATGTGTGTGTGTGTATGTGTGTGTGTGTGTGTGTGTGTGTGTGTGTGCGCGCGTGTGGGTGTGTGTGTGTGTGAGAGAGAAAACTTGTGTTTTGTTTTTTTTTCTTACCAAAGTTGCCACTTGGACTAAAGTCGCCAAGCTGGACACGCTGGCATAAATCCAAAGAACAAGTGGTAATTGGCCCTCCGTGGCGGTGACGCAGCTTCCCCCTCCGAACGCTCAGAAAAAGTCAATTCAGCCAACATACATGCACAGAAATGGCACGTAACACACACATACTTTGTGCATGTGTGTGTATGTGTGCGTGTGTGTGTGTGTGTGTGTGTGTGTGTGTGTGTGTGTGTGTGTGTGTGTGTGTGTGTGTGTGTGTGGTGACCATTGGGCCGACACACAATGTCGCGTTTGTCATTGGTGGGTGACACAAAGGCCAGCGGGCCGTGCCGGAGGCCATCCAAAGCATGGCCGCTGGATGCCCTGCCTCAGCAGAAGGCATTCAAGCACCTCTCAATTGGAGCTCAGCGTCGAGCGTTCTCAGCAAGAACCCGTTTGGAGCACGCCAGTCCTCCACCGCCCCGCCAGATTTCTTCCAAAGGGACAAAAACTGGGAAAAGGTATCCTCCCCAAAAAAAAGGCATCTAATACGTCTTTTATTGGAGCGACACACCCCTAATATCCATTTAATAAAGACAGGACATTTTTTGTTTTCATCTTAAGTATTTGATTTATTTTTTGGATCAATCTATAATTCGATTCAATCAATGCAATCTTCCAAATGGTCAGGGGTATGCTGTGACAGAAACTCAACATATCTGGATGTCCCAGTCGTCCTCGACGGTGAGCTCCAACTCGCCGACAGTGAGCGAGCGCCGCTCCGGGTTGTACTCATACTCCACTGAGACGCCCTCGGTCGCCCCCGCCCTGTAAACCCGCACCGCTGACGGCTGGCCCCGCAATCCCAGGACCTCCACTGAGCGCACCGCTATGCCGCACTTGTAGCTTCCCGCTTCGCTGGCGTCGCTGCCGAGTTGACAGGGTTGAGATGTCCGAGCGTGATGAATATAGAACGAGAACGGGGGAGGAAGGAGAACTCACCGGCACTGCAGGCGTCCTGCCATCATGTGGAAGGAGCGTAGGCAGAACTCCCGCTTGTCACGGTACGAGAAGGTGTGGCCATCATCCAGGTACACCTCACCGTTGGCGGCACCCTGTGGTAGATTGGACAGAAAAAAACAGAGATTGCCGCAAACTGCAGCTCTGAAACGACCTGCCATGCTGCGACTATCCAGTTCGCTTTGCTCCTCTCACCTGAGCGTCCAGAGCCACTGTCACGGCAAGCGGCGTCTTCTGGAGGTCGGCGGTGCAAGTCCCAACCGCGACGGCGCGGCACACCACCGTACCGCCTCGCTGGTACAGCGGAATCTGATGACATTGCACGAAATGCACACGTTTGTTCACTCCAATGGTTGGTTATAGGTTAATAGTTGGTCATCATAAAACCATTATCAGCAGGCATGTTGTAGGTAGTATTTGGGGTCGGTTGAGCGATTTGTTTAGAGGTTGGTTCGGGAGTTAGCTGATCGATTAGTCAGTCATTCAGTCAGGTCGGTTCTTTGGTTGGTCGGTTGGCTGGTTTGTTATTTATTCAGTGAAAAAAAACGTATGTTTTGAGTGCGTCGGTTAATGGGTTGATTCGCCAGTTACAGTTTGTTAATTGGTTGGTTATTTTGCCAGTTGATTAATTCGGAAATTGTGGCCATCATAAAACCTTTATTAAATGTATTAAATGTGATTTGATGACTTTTCAACATTAACTCTGTAATGTGCAGTTAAACGTTTGTTTGCGGTTGCTTCTGTCTGCAGTACTTCTTTTTTTCAGTCAAACATGACGCTTCCTCCACGGAAGCGTCATTTTTGACCGAGACGTCAGAAGCCTGACAAGATGAAAAGGAAAAAAAAACAAACATTTACCGTTTCCAAGGTTACCGGCAAACTCGGAGTCCCTCCCCCGTGGTGCACCTCTGCCGATTTCACATCATACCAAAGCTAAAATACAGGAAAAAACAATATATTCAACAGTTCTAACCTCTTGAATCAATATTTACGCTACCTGCTCCGCCCCGGGAAATATGACTTCCAGTTCCGCAACTCCGGATTCCGTGACGGGACACGCCATCAGTGCGTCTCCTGTGTTCAATATTCAGATAAATGAATAGAACAAATGCGGTCTGGGTTCAAAAAAATAATAATAATTTAAGCAAAAAGGTGACATTACCGATCATGTACTGGTGGTCCACGCTGAAGATGCTCTTCTCCTCAGGGAACTCGAGCCACAGAGGCCTGAACATAAGTGGCACCACTTCAGGGACAACCGCAAAGGCAAATGAGATTCCATACATTTAAAATGATGCTGAAGACAGCTGGGATAGGCTCCAGCATGCCCTTGCGAGGATAAGCAATTCATTATCAATGATGGATAGATGGACATTTTTCAGTCCAGGCCTGTAGGTGGCATCAACCACCCACCACGCACAGAAAGATTTTTTTCAAAATGCGAATCAAAACAGAACCACTTGAAAGTGAACTCGTGTCTCAGAACGGATTCTGTTCGAGTTACTAACTAAATGACTCCAAGTCTGTTGAATGCTAAAATATGGAGGAACAACCCAATAAAATGTTCGGATCTTATCTAGCGAGCAGCAGACACTGACCTGAGTACGGGCAAGCCGTCGATGTGAGCCCGGTAGAAGACAGTGTACCAGTAAGGTAGCAAGCGGTACCTGAGAATCCAGACGCTTGTTATTTTGGAATTATTTCTCCAATGAGGCGAATGCAAGTCGAGGCAAAGGATCATCATGCTATTGTACCGTTCATCGATGACACTTCGGATGGCGTCGGTCACATTCTTCTCGAACAGCCAGGGCTCCCGGCGCACCGTGTTCATCGACGAGTGACCTCGGAAGAAGGGCTGCAGGCAGGCGGCTTGGTACCAGCGGATCAGCAACTCGGGGCTCGGCTCAGGGATGAATCCACCAATGTCGGCTGAAAGGCACAGGAAAACATTTCAAGCTGTTCCCTCAAGGTAAAGATAAATCGCTTCCAAAAACAGATTGTTTTATACGTCATAGGACATGGATGGAAATGCCTCATCAAGGCTCCATAATTAGATCTATCACGTCAAGGTTCTGCTTATCTTCTGGTACGTTCCTCGTAAGTGACTTCGCGCATTATCTAATACGACCTCCATTTTCTAATCGTCTCAACGACCATTTTGTCAACTGAGAGCTATTTACATTTTATTATTTTTTTTGGACTCACCTCCGCAAAACGAGAGGCCTGTGACACACATGGACAGACACATGGGGATGGAGATCTTCAGGTACTCCCAAGTAGAGAGATTGTCGCCAGTCCACACGGCTGCTGCATGAGAAACATTTGGGGGTTCAGGTTTCCGTTTCTCAGCCAAATTCAAAGTTGATCCGCATACCTAGTCTCTGAGTCCCGGCGAAGAAGGCCCGAGACAGGATGAAAGGTCTCTCGGTGCCACCGGAGCGGGTCACCAGGCTGTCCACTAATGCCATTTGCTAGGAGAGATGAAAGGATCACATAAAAATTTAACGTGTGGTGCTGTACATGTATCAACCTTTCTTTCTTTTTAATTTAGAAAACAAACTTAAAAAGTTATGCACTATTTTATTGTTTTTTTAAAATATATTTAATTCGGTGAAATCGCAGAGGATGTTTTCCAGACCCATCTGTGAATAACTGCGATGATGCGACCCCATATAAAATTTTTTTAATAGTTTTAGCCCCGCCAGACACTTAAATCACTTTTAAATGTAATAACAGTAAAGCACGGTGCGCACACTCATGTTAGCTGCAGTTTATCTTCACATTCAAGAATAACATTAGAACTAAGGAGGAACCAACATCAGCCTCCAACGTTAGCTTTAATGTTAGCTCTCCAATGTTAGTTTAAACAACAGCGTCTATTGTTAGCTTCCGTTCTGATCTCTATCGTTAGAGCTAAGGAAGACCAAAGTTAGCTTCTGATTTTTTTTTTTTGCTCCAGCACGCCCCGCGACCTAAGAAAACGGATGGATGAATGATCCACAGATCGGCCCATTTTCCATACAAATTGTTACATAGTCCCTCTGATATCTTACCACTGATATTTACTGATGTGTATTACAATGTTTGCTAAGCGCTTCAGGCGTCATCACATTCTGCCAGTTTTTTGGGTTTTTTTTTTTTGTTCAAACATTCCAGTCAAGTCAATATTTGTTCGAATACTACAATCTCACCTGGTAAAAGCTGTACAGGTTATGCAAGTCGCGGTGTTCCCAGCCCCCATAATGAAGCGCATCCTTAGGCATCGTCAACTCAGGCCCGGAGAACACTGTGGGTTCGTTCATGTCAGCCCACACGTGCAACAATGGCGTCGAGCCCTGGGTCATGAAACACATCCAAAAAAATCATAAAATGACCTTCATTTTATGAAACATTAACATATTAAACATTTGATGTTTGGCTTAACAATGACAGCAATTCCTATGACAAATTAGTGTGAGAAATGGGACGAAAGACAGTCTTGACACAAAAGATCATTTTCACACTAACCTTGTACCGATCCAGGGAAAAGCACTTGGCGTACCAGGCCCGGGCACGCGGGTTGCTGAAGTCCGGATAATGCGAGTCGCCCGCCCAGGACGTGCCCGTGAATGTCTGCTTCTGTCTGTCCATGACGAAAATCTCTCTGTCTAGCCCCTCGCGGTATAGCGACCAATCAGGATCGATCATGATGGGTGGATTAATGATAACCACCAACTGAAATCAGAAGACAGACTGGCTGGGTCGGGGAAAAAAACGAACTAAAGAATAAAACGGGACATAAGAAGGATTTCACATGAACGAGGACGAGGGCTTTGGACTCAAGACTCTGTGACTTCGTAACAACAGAATAGAACTAAGAAATCGGATTCGGGACTAGTGCTAAAGACTCAGATAGGACTAAGACTTAGGTCTGAAGACTAAGATTTAGGACAAAAGGCTAAGGAGGGGTCTAGTAATTAGACAAGACTGACAGACTAGGACAAAGGTCTAAAGACTGGGACGTGGTTCTCAAAACTAAGAAAGGCCGATATAATGACAGAGAACTAAAGACAGAACACAGGTGACGGACCTTCCTGTTCTTCTGCTCCAGCTGGCGCTGCAGCCTGGCCGGGTCAGGAAACAGCTCGGGGTTCCAGGTGAAGAAGCGCTTCCCGCGCGTGTGTTCGATATCCAGCCACATGACATCGTACGGGATGCGGTGGTGGTCAAACTTGTCGTCCACCTCTGCCACGGCCTCTTGGGTGTCGTCGTCCCAGCGCGAATGGTGGTAGCCCAGGGAGAACAGAGGCGGGAGGGCATGGTACCCTGGATGGAGTGTCAGGCTGTGTTATTCACTAGAGAGAGACTTTTTTTGGGGGGTTGGCGGGGGGTGGGGGACTATGACATGACTCACTTGACGTTGTAATGATTCGAGAGTGACTGAATGAATGATTCTGAACACAGCGTCCGCGTTGTGGCTGTGACGTTTACATCTAGGAAAACGGCGAGTGTGATCTGTCGCTTCACTTACCCGTCAGCTCAGCGTACTGGCGGTACATCTGTGCCGGACTCGGGCCCAGCAAAACCATGCAGTCTATCACGCCGCTCTCAGAGAGCCAGTGGATGTCGGTGTGGGGCGGCAGGCTGTCTTCCTGGTGAAAGTCCCCCCGCCCAAAAAAAGTGAGAATTATCCATCAGAACATCTTTGAGACAGGACTGAGCAAGACTTAATTGCTTTTGCAAGAGGACTACGATGTTTCATCAGTTTTCTGAAAGACCAAAACCGGACTAAGAACTATGATTTTTCACCAAAAACTGGGACTGAATAATAAAGACTCAGGCAGACTAAAAAAGGACTTAGAGCGACGGAACTCAGAAAGACAAGGACATCAAGACTAAGACAGTCCAAAAGACACGACTGACTGAAGACTAAAAGGGGAATCAGGACTAGGAAATAGAACAAAAAAAAAAGTTGGACTTTTTCCTAAAAACTAAAACAGCACGAATGACTAAGATAGTACTCATGACCAAAACTGGACTATGACTTAATTAAGACTAAGATGAGGATTTTTGGACAAAAGACTAAAACAAAAGCTATTCGGAAGAGACAAAAGACTAGGGACAATGGAGGATTTTGGACTAAAGACTAGGATTTGGGACAGGAGAATAAAACAAGACGAAGGTCTCCAGATTTACATCTAAAGAGGATTCGGAACTAAAGACAGCTAGAGGACCAAGGACTCGGACAACAGACGAAAAACTTGGATTGGATCACCAGTACCTGGCTGTAGTTGACGTGCACAAACGAGTCCGAGGCATTGAGCCAAAAGACTCCCAGAGTTCGGTCCTGCTTGTGAGCCACCGCGAACGGGACGCTGCCATATATGCCCAGATGGCTGTTGATCTCGCAGGCGAACACGTCCAGGTTGTACAGTCGGTAAGGCTCGTCATTTCTGCGGGGGAGTGGGGGGGGACATTGAAGCAGATACTTGATTGACGCTTTTTCAATTAACACTTCCATCCTGTTCATTTTTCCTGCACAGGTGGCAGTAGACAATTTGGACCTCTGCGTGAGCTCTGTTGCATTTTGCTCTTTTCGCCGCTTCGAGATTTTCCCCAACAGCCTTCACAGAGCACCAGGTGCATGTTTCTGTGGGAACTTGTGCAAGTGCGGCGTGGACACAAACAGTTCTTTGGAGTGATTCAAACTTCTTATGCACGCTGTCCCATGGAAATACATGCATTGAGTAGTTAACAGTGCATCTACGTCTGAGCGCAAATTACTGGGGCATCCTGATTTTCAGGTGTTTGCCATTTTGTCAGATTGGAGGTAAAGCCTGGCTAAAAGGGACAATTTGGAGGCAGATGGTCAATCTAAACGTACACCTCCTCAGAGGTCTTAAGTGAGGGGGCAGGGGGCAGCTGGTCCAACGTGATTGTTGAAAATTTGATCTGACCACAGGCAAACTCTTTATTTGGGGGTTACTCTCGGAAAAGTCAGAACGTTTCAGAATGAAAGAATGACAAATCCTACATGTCAAAACAAATCCAATGAGGCAAAAACAGGACAGAATGTCAGGGAGAAGGATTTATTTCGTTCTTCACCGACCTGGTGTCTGCCAAGCGGAGAGTGTCGGGGTGTTCTGGCACGCCAAATACATTGTGGAATCCATGGAGACGCAAGTCGGCGCCAATGCTGCTGGGTCCTACGCAGTAAAACACACGGCAGCGCACTTAGCTTCTTCAACTTCGTCAGTGCTAAGAAACCAAGAAAACATTCATGACATATCCATCCATTCAATTTCTGATCCGCTTTATCCTCACGAGGGTCGCGGGGGTTGCTGGAGCCTATACCAGCTGCCTTCAGACAGTAGGCGGGGGACACCCTGAACTGGTTGCCAGCCAATAGCAGGGTAAGCAGAGACGAACAACCAGCTGCGCTCACACTCACACCGAGGGACAATTTCGAGTGTTCAATCAGCCTGCCATGCATGTTTTTGGAACGTGGGAGGAAACCGGAGTACCCCGAGAAACCCCACACAGGCACGGGGCGAACATGCAAACTCTACACACCAACGCCGGAGCCCGAATGGAACCCACGGCCTCTGCACTGTGTCTGCACTCCATCCAACCATGTTTATTCAATTAACGTCAAACACAACAGTGCAAATTTGAAAAACGTCAGCCAAGTATACTAATATTTGCACTGCCATTTTTTCTTCTCCAGGAACACCTTTTGTAATTATTTCCTAACGATGTCATCATTAGCATGAGGGTGTCGTGAACCCAAACCGTTGGCTTTGATGTCCTCAAAGGTCCTGAATGTCTCTCTCCACAGGTTGTCTTCTTCCAGCTGTGAGAAAAAGGAGACAATCATTATAAAAGAATCATAAAGCAATTGGTTGTTGTGGCGTGTCCTACACTGACGTCTTTTCTTTCTTCCTTGTCCCTGAAAAAAAAAAAAAATGTCTATAATGTTTCATACTTTACCTCAATGTTACACGCCATGTAAATGAGACACTCACTCGGTGGGACGTTCTCGCAGATTCTCAAACCACAGCTTGCTTCCCGCGTTGAAGGTCACCAACTCTTGGCCCTCGCACAGGAGCACCATGCGGAAAGGTTGGCGCCACACGCGACAACTGTAGAGCCCCGAGGCCCAGCAGAGCATCACTGAGTCATCCTGCTGCTCCTCCAGTCTCACCCTGCCCAGAACATCAATAGAAGACGAGATGAGTTCACAGACTTGTCGGATGCCAACAAATAGGTGTGTGATAATATCAAATTTGCGTAACATCAAAAAGGCACGGGAGCGAGTATGTGACGACCTCAAAGAGGTGTATGATGACATGGATCAAAGCAAAGTGGTGTCTGGTGATGTTAGAGAAGTGAGGGTTAGCGTTACATGTGACACAAGGTACCCGTCAAAGAGGTGTAGGTGACATCAAAGGTGTGTAGTATGTCGTCAAAGAGGTGTCTGACGACCAAATGCTGTAAAATGACACCAAAGCAGTGCATGATGGCTACATGGAGGCACAGGATGGCATCAACGAGATTTGTAATGATGTCAAAGATGTTTAGGATCAATGAAAATCTGTATTTTGATGTCAAAGAGGTGCACGTCACATCAAAAAAAGCTGTGGAATGACATTAAGACAACAAAGAGGTGTCGGATGATAGCAAAGGGTGAAGGGTTGTGTCAAGAGGTGTACGCGGATGTCAAAGAGGTCGATGATGACTTCAGTGATGTTTGCAAGGTCATCAAAGAAGTGTGGTGACATGAAAGAGGTTTATAATGACCACAAAATGTGTAGAGTTGTGTCCGAGTGGTGTAGGCTGATAACAAAGAGGTTGCTGATGACCTCAGTGAGGTTTGCACTGACATCAAAGAGGTGCAGGACTGTAACAAATAAGAGTAGGATGACTGCTAAGGGTGTATAGGCTTGTGTCAGAGAGGTTGCTCATGACTTTAGCGAGGTCCATAATGACCTGCATCATGACCTCAAAGAGATGTAAAGTGACATCAAACAGTGTACATTCCCCTCTCGGGGTTTGTTGATTTTACACACAAGCACCTTGGTTTTTAACCTTTAAATTGAACCAATTTAAAAACGGGTCTATTCTGAGGCCGCCACATATGATGAGTCTCTGTGAGGCCGGCCTCACTTTTCACACTGCGGCTCCTTGGTGAGCACATCCTGGACCCTGTAGCGCACTTTGATGGGAAGCAGTTCGTCAATGACAATCCTGACTGTGTTGTTTTTGCAGGGCGACAGGCACACAAGCAGTTTGCTCTGTAGGGAAAACAAACAAGCAAAAAAAAAAAAAAAGTCAAATCTTGATGGTCCACACGCCTTGGCTGTTGCGAAATGATGGAGCTTTTGCTGAACTCACACACTCCGGATGCAACGTGAGTTGGGCTATTTCTTTTTTTTAAAAAAAAATTATGTTAGATTTTTTTGAAAGGTGGATTTCATACCTTTAAGTGTGGTTCCAGCAACTCGAAGTGGACTCCTTTTTCACTGAGAAAAATTGTATGGAAAAGGGCCTCATACTGCATTTTGGGACCCTTCATCTGCCGTCTAGCAAAAATTGCGAGTGATATGAGATTTATTGTATGAAATGTAAATTAAAAACAGACTGAGTATAATTCCTACTCTGTATTATTATATTTCAAAGAAGAAATAAAATAAAACATCAAAAAGCATGTTAGTACAATATAAATAAACATAAAAATAAAATTTTTACAACCTCAAACAAATTAAAACCAGAAATGTTTGTATTCACATTCCGTTAGTTGATAGGTAAATACGGTGAAATAAAAAAACTGACGTGTGTGTGTGTGTGTGTGTGTGTGTGTAAATACGTTGAAAAAAAATCTGTGTTATTCAATATATATTTCCATTGTTACACTATAAAAAAAATATTTGGTGAACGCAAAATTTCAAGGCAGCAAAGGTGGATAAAGTTTAAATTGGGCAAGTCAACAAAATGGGCAAATTCAATGCAAATAAATACAATTTAGAACCATGATGAAGTGACACACCTGTAAAAGGCGACCTGATCACTTTTCTTAAACTTGTGCTTGCCATCACCACCAGGCACACCACTGTGGAACACCAACAACAAAAACACAATGTACATATATATAATAATGATATATAT